CCCCAAAACCCCAAAACCCCAAAACCCCAAAACCCCAAAAATTAAATCAACGGTTGATAATATAGAATAAATAGTGCAAAATGAAGAAGCTCAGATTACCGAATTTGTTAAGGCTAGATAATGACAGACAGAAGCATGTGATAAGTATCTTGGAAGCATTTGAGAAGGACAATCAGGTTAACCCTGGCAAAAACACTCCTTTAGATCTCTTCTTGAGATACTACTTCTTGGACAACAAGATGGTGTCTCCTTCAGATAGGGCAGCTATTGTTGATTATGTGTATCGTCTGACATCTTATAAACTCTATCTGAGTGCTATCTCACGGAGACCAATAAACTGGAAGTCCAGACTTGAAGCATTTGTAAGTCCAAAATTTGAGGAGAATTTTATGAATGGACAAATCCCCCCTCATGTCAGAGCATCCTTCCCTGAAGATCTCTATAACTTAATGGTGGAGGCTTATGGAGAAAAGGAAGCGTTTGACATGTGTCATATCTTGAATGAAAGACCTCCTTTGACTGTCAGAGCTAATACTATGAAGATCACTAGACATGACTTGTTTAGGAAATTCCAAAAGAAGAAATTTAAAGTTGAGAAATGACTGCATTCTCCAATGGGGATCCAATTTAATGAAAGACCAAAAACCAATTTCTTCAAACTTCCAGAATATAGTCAGGGCTTCTTCGAAATCCAAGATGAAGGATCCCAGCTCTGTGCTATGAGAGTTGACTGCAAACCAGGACAGACCGTCCTTGACTATTGTGGAGGAGCAGGTGGAAAAACACTAGCTTTTGCCCCTTTTATGCACAATAGAGGGCAAATTTTTGTGCATGATGTGAGAAAGTCAGTACTCCTGCAAGCTAAAAGAAGGTTTAAAAGAGCTAATCTTGGCAATGTCCAAACACACTCTGAAAAGCACAAATTGTGGCAAACCATTAACAGGAAATGCCACTGGGTTCTTGCTGATGTTCCATGAACAGGCACAGGAACTCTTCGTCGGAATCCTGATATGAAATGGAAATTTTCAATCAAAATGCTTCAAGGATTATGCAAAGTTCAGGAAGAAATAGTCAAGGAAGTTGTTCCTTGTCTTCGTAAAGGTGGAAAACTTGTCTATACAACATGAAGCATCCTTCCTCAAGAGAATCTCATGCAGGTAATGAACTTATGTGACAAATTCAATTTGGAAATAGAAAATGGAAAGCATTTTCAGGTTCTACCTAAATCTAATGGTATGGATGGTTTCTTCTCAGCAACATTGATCAAGAAACAAGGGTTATTGATTGATTAATAGTTTCTATAATTCATCAAGCTTCAGGGGTTTTGGGGTTTTGGGGTTTTGGGGTTTTGGGG